TAGACTCTCCATTAGAGATTTTTAAGAACAGTTTAGACAAACACCTGTCAGGGATAGTCTAGATACTTAGTCCTGCCATGAGTGCAGGGGACTGGACTAGATGACCTCTCGAAGTCCCTTCCAGTCCTATGATTCTATGTCCGTGTTTAAAGGGAGATCCTGCTTTTTATCCTGGAGGCCCATTGCTGTGAAAACACCATTGTAACAGATCTGTGGACCTTATCATGATGATGAACAGGAAAATGTATCTGTGCTTATCCTGAAATGTCTTTCAAGTAGTAATGTTCACAGATTTGGCCTACCCTGAGTACAAATGCATCATCCAGAACAGAGATGGAAATTAACAAATTAAACCTGACTTTGGGGATGTGAGGGGAGATTAGTCCCAGGTTCTGCATTAGGAGAAATTGCTATGCCTTTTCTTCAAAGCATAGTTAACACATTCTGTAATTTAGGAAAGTAGAATGGAATGATCTTGGCTGTGGAAATTCTCAGCTGGAGGGAACTGCGGGTAGCTAAGGTGTTCCCTTGCTGCCAGTGACCGACAGCTATGGTTCTGCCCCCAAATTGCAAGCAGGGTAAAGTACCTACTGTTTGTAATAGATCTGTGGACTTTATTGCACTAAGCAGAAATTTTCAGGACAGCACAGATACGTTTTCCTAGAATCTTCCTGTGTGATTATATACCACCGAATACATTAGGAGCCTGATCCTGATTGTTTGCCTTTTGGGTGCTATGGTATAAAAATAACATGAATAATTTTCAAGTAGTTTATTTAAAACATTTATTGAAAACGTTTTAAATTTTGCATTGCAATATTGTTATTGATCTGGGATCTTAAGCAGTTGATTATTTCAACAAAACGCATGTGCTTTACCTATATGGTAATCTTTTTTACAGTATTCCTTTGGATGGCTTCCTTCCCCCCACCCCAAGTAAACATGTATTTTTCAGATGCAAAGAATGCTTTGGTGAGGAGGCATCACTTCCATGTTTTCCTGAATTAGTTTAGCTTTGTTATGTTTGTCGGTCATTTCATAGGTTCATAATAGTTAAAGATAGTAAAAACTTTCTAGAATGTCAAATTAGTTTGTCTGGAATGACCGGAAAGAGACTCCCCATTAAGATGATACCATATTTGATTTTGATCATCATAGCTACATTGAAACTAGTATCTCAAGTTGACACATAGGTGACCTGTAACATTCTGAGTAGTATCCATATTAGGCATTCATCTTTTAAAACCTTTACTGTTTAAAAAAAAACAACTAAAAACAAAAAACCAAAACCCAACCATATTAGGGCCCTCATCCTGTCAGAGTCTGAGTGCTCTCAAATTCCACTGAAGCCAGTGCAAGTTGAGGTGCTTCAGCAGCTTGCATGAGGCAATCAAGATCCATGTTCAAATTTCACTAAAAGTTTTATCATTCTATAATGCAGCCTTGCAAAGTTCTACCTGACAAGAGTGAGTCTTGCTGATGAGTGAGTAAAATATCATTAGTATTTTAATTATGACTAGCCATTTTGGTGAAGGGCAGTGGGATAGATTTTGTGCTTGGGCTGGTAAGCTTTCCTAACAATTTTGCAAGGCTGCTATAATCTCAGTATTACTTCCTTGATCTTTAGCTGAGAACAGGGATAGGACTATTATACTTTGTTATTTCTGTTGGCTGCAACATAGAGTAGAGGTGTCTGGCTGGTGGGTCTTGCTCACATGCTCAGGGTCTAGCTGATTGCCATAATTGGGGTCAGGAAGAAATTTCCCCCTGGGTCAGATTGGCAGAGATCCTGGGAGTTTTTCACCTTCCTCTGCAGCATGGGGCATGAGTCACTTGCACTAAACTAGTGTAAATGGTGGATTCTCTGTAATCTGAAGTATTTAAATCATGTTTTGAGGACTTCAGTAACTCAGCCAGAGGTTATGGGTCTATTATAGGAGTGGGTGGGTGAGGTTCTGTGGGCTGCAATGTGCAGGAGGTCAGATTATATAATCACAATGGTCCCTTCTGGCCTTTTAAGTCTATGGCAAGGGCACAAGAGAAGTCAAGCACAAGACAAGGGCACAGTGGTATGTGCTCCTATAGCATGGCTGATCAAAATTCAGATAATGTTTCTTATAGAGGTATTGGAAGCACATAATACACACTGCACGTTGAGAGTTAAAACACAAAAGAATGGTGCGTACCCAGCCGCAGTAAGAATTCATGAAATATGTTCCTGTTGTTGAATTCTTTTGAATTGTGTCACTAGGCCTCTACTGGCTGCACTCACGGAGCTGTGCGGCAGTTACTGATGCACAACTAGTAACATTAGTAAAATGTCTCTGCTAATAGAGAGCATAACGGAAGCACTGTTACTGTAGCCACCAATACAGATGAGGTTTTCAGAAGCTCTTGAACAGAACTTTCTTGTAGTGGAACCTCTCAGCCGGTAATGAGCCACACCACTGAAAACATTGCATGCTATGACATGAGCACTTGCTTCTTGGGAACAAAAGTATTTCTGAGTCTGGGTGTCTGTAGCCTCTTTAGCACCTAATTTTTTATGAGAAAAGGTAGAGGATAATTTAAAACAAAGGCCCTTTCTATGTTAGGGGAATTTACATTGGTAATTACACCTGTGCAAATTCCTTCATTTTTTATATTGGAAAACAGCAAGTTTATTATTACAAATCCTATCATCTGTTTGGAACCATATATAGATCCCCATCGTTCCATTTTCAGCTGCTACAAGATGTAAGAAACAAAGCAAATTTAACAGCTAAAACGTTTTAAAAATGCAGCAAGCTTATGAAGTCTCCAAAGTCATTTTTGTGGACAGGGGAAAAGTTTGTGTTGTTTTGCAAATACACACGCACACACGCTTTTAAAATTTAGTCTGAAAATGTCTTACTACATCTGAATGTTTCTGTCCTGTAACAAGGTGGCAAGATATGGATGCTTCTCTCTATGAACATATCACCTTACATTTAACATCTAACTCTTCCTGCTTAACTGTAAACTACACAAGATGTTAAATGTTTTGGGGCATGCAGCATTCTAGGCAGGCACAATCTTGTAGCCTTTAGAGAGCTGTATTGTGATTTGTCACCGGTCTTATCAGTACATTTGAGTTTTATTTTTAGTGAGCTGTAAGTTCTCTGTCACTGCTTTGGAGAACTTCTTACTTCTTATCAGATTTTCAGTTTTTCTTTTGGGGATAAATTAATTTTTCTATGTTCACTTGTGTCTTCACTTTTATAACAGAACAAAAATCTGTTTCCTGTATGGTGAACAGCAATTGCTGTTAAGAATTGTGGGAGGGGAAAAATTATATGTGGTTTTTGGTCAGCATTTGTATCTTTCAGCCCATTCCTCTGAGCCCTAGTCTACACTAGGGGGGGATCGATCTAAGTTATGCAACTTCAGCTGCATGAATAATGTAGATGAAGTTGACGTACTTAGATCAACTTACCGTGGTGTCTTCACCGCGGTGAGTTGACTGCTGCCGCTCTCCCGTCAACTCCGCCTGCGCCTCTTGCTGAGCTGGAGTACAGGAGTCAACAGGAGAGCTCTCAGGGGTCAACTTATCGTGTCTAGACTGGATGCGATAAATCGATCCCCGCTGAATCGATCGCTGCCCGCCGATCTGGCGGGTAGTGTAGACATGCCCTTAGAAGCAGATGGCATTGGCTGAAATCACACAACAATGTCTCCTGAGAAATTTAGGGATTAGGCCACAATAGTGCTGTACTCTGTGGCCCAGATGAGAAACCAGTGCAATTGGTCATAGTGAATCTTTATGGCTAAGATTTTGTCACAGATACTTTTAGTAAAAGTCACGGACAGGTCATGGGCTAAAAAGAAAAATTAACGGAAGCTGTGACCTGTCCGTGATGTTTATTAACGATATCCATGACAACATGGGGATCTGTGGGTCTCCACACCGCCTGAAGCAGGTAGCTGCACAGGAGCTAGGAGCTGCCTGCGGCAGCTGGAGGCTGCAGGGTACCCCTACCACCCGCAGTTCCGGGAACCTGCAGCAGCCGGGAGCTTGGTGGTTCCTCCCCAGTGGCCAGGAGCTCGGGGGTTCCCTTGACAGCTGGGAGTTCTGGGGGCCGCCAGAGGCAGCAGGGGTATCCCGCAGCTCCCCGCCCCCATGGGTGGCGGGGGACCCTGCAGCTCCCAACCACTGCAGGCTGAAGTCACAGAGGTCGCTGGAAGTAATAGATTCCATGACCTCCATGACTAAATCATAGCCTTATGTATCGCATATTACAGTGGCCTCGTTCAGAAACTGAAGCACTGGCTAAGGAACAGCATCTTCTTTGCCCTCCTTCTGAAAAACTGACTTACTGCTGTTTTATTTATTATTATTCATGTTAGGGCTGGGTTATGGGTTTCAGCAGGAATCTGTACCTTCCCCATTGACACAGCTGAACTGGCACCAAAGGTTTTCAGTCTCTTGTTTTGAGACAGTGGTGATGACCAAGGAAAGCCTTGTTCCCATACCCTACCTTGTGGTTGAAATGCCTCAGTCTTGAACTCCACGTGAGCTCCTCAGTCATTTCTCTGGAGTTGCCACAGGAAATAGAAAGACCCAAATCTGCAGTGCTAATTCAGGCAAAACTCTTGTTGACCTCTGTGGACGTTTTGCCAGAGTAAGGCTGTGGGATTTTGCTTGCAGATTATATCATGATACTTCACAGAAAGGTGCACCTTCATGGGGAGGGGTAGAATATTGGATACCTCATGTTAACAAAAACATAGCTGGGATGTGAAAAGGCCCAAAGACAGGCCCTAAATTTGCTACCAGAGCTCTTCTTCAGATCCAAGTCTATGTAGCTTGAAAGCGTGTCTCTCTTGCCAATAGAAGTTGGTCCAGTAAAAGATATTGCCTCCGCCACCTTGTGTGTCTAATAAATATAATACTCAACTGCAGAATGTGGAATAGTAATGTTGAAAACTGTGAAGAATGTGTATTAACATATTATATAATTGTTTTTTTGTTTGAATTCTAGACTGACTACAATGTCTCATTGCATTGGACTCCTGTCCATTGCCTCTAAACTGAGTTTGCTGGTTTTGCTGCTTTCTGCATTGTGCTTCTGTTCATGCTTAAGTGACAGAATTCCAGTAAGTATCTTCTAATCTGAGTGAAAGAAGGCTATAAGAGGTCGTTGAAATCATTTGAATTACTTGGTACTGGTGGGGTGAGCATAGCCTTATTTATTTCTCCTGAAATTATGTATAGCAGTGCATCACCTCTCATCTGTGCAGCATTTTGTCTTTTTAAAATGTTCTATGGTATAAAATTTCAGAAAAGTTTTAAGAAGTAAGCCTATCTGAGTCACTTGATGCTGAGCAATAAAGTGGACCTGGCAAAAGGAAACATGCGATTCAGGCAACGTTCACATTTTGTCACAGGCACCTTGTTTTATTTAAGCAGCTGCAACTAAAACTTTAATTTCATTAGGATAAAAACTAAAGCTAAACGTGTGGTCTAGCGGTGAGAGCAGGAGGTAGAAATCAAGAGTATTCTGTTCCCAGCTGTGCTTCTGATAACTGTGTAACTGTGGGTAAGTCACTTATACCCACATTTTCAAAAGGGGCGTATGATTTTTGGGCCCTTTGTTTTTTTGGATGCCCAACTTGAGACACCCTGAGCCTGATTTTTCAGACTTCAGTTGAATGAAATGGGAGCTGTGTGTACTCAGCATCCATGTAAGGGTGCGAAGCTGAACAACCAGAAAATCAGCTTTCATTTAAAAAAAAAATGTATCTAGTTCTCTTGGTTGCAAAGGAAAGCTTGAATACGTGACCCTGAGTGTAATCAATGCAGTGTCACCTGCCAGCATTTGCAGACAGCATGACACACTAGCTCAGAGAGGTGTGAGCTGCCCCAGTCATCTTCATGGGCTCTGAAATCCACTTCTCTGGGACCCTTGACAACACCAATCTAGCAGAGGACACTGAAGGTATATCTACACTGCACACTAAGCCTGTGTCTGTGTCAGCCAGTGTATTGGACTTTTTGTTTCCAAGCCCATGCTTGAATGTCTGCACTGCATTGTAAATCTGGGTTTACAATTGCTGGATCTAGGTGTCTCAGCTGTGTTAATGCGTTCATACTTCACTATGCAGTCCTTGTGACTCAGGTATGTGGCTTGACTTGTATCCACACTACAAAATGACAGGGCTAGGACGCGGGACTCAGACTGTGACCACTTCCCTTCTCCCCCCCCACAGCAGGGTCCGAGGACCAGGGCCCTGACTGCTTGCTGACCTGAGTCATACTGTTTTGTGTGTGGATGAAAGGGGGGCGTGGGCTCAAACCTGAGTCAGAGCTCAGGCTTAGTGTGTAGTGTAGACATACCTTGAGATGGGAATGACCCTTATTATCACCACGTTATCATGGCTTTTGCAAGGCTCCCACCACACAGAGTCCTTTGCTCAATCCCTCCCCTTTCTGAGACAGATCCCAGTTTGTCTGCAGACAGGTAGTGGTGGCTTGAGGAGAGGCAAGGCCTCAGCCTGGCCACGGGAGTGGTGGTGGAGGCCGCCTTGCCAGCCCAGAATAGCTCATGTAGGTGGTCTCGGCTACTACTAGCCTAAGGAAGGGTGAGGCACAGGGAACCCCATTTTGGGTGTGTCTAGTTGCCTGGACTGGGAATAATCCCAATTTTAACTCCATTTTAACATTCTATCTGTCTTTAAGGAAATGTCTATCTTTCCTTGTAGAACCTGTTTTGGTTTCTACTCTCTTGATTCTCTAAGCAAAACAAAAGTAGTTACCAATTAATTATGTACTTTATGTAAGTAGAAAATATGATAAACTTGCTTGTGTGCAATTGCCAATTTTCATTACCACAGCAAATGTTAATGGTATTTAGACTGTTAGTGAAAATGGGATAGTTATAAAGTGATCACAGGCCAAACAGCTGAAGCAACTGTTTAAATGAAGAAAGACACGTACTGTTACCCCTTACAGTACATTTAGATTGCAGAACTCTTATTGAACAGAGACCATTCGTAAACATCAGCTGTCTCCATTATGTGTTTTCAACAGATATAAAATTAAGAGGCATCTTGGTGAATTTATTATGGGACTGTGTGTCATTAAATCCCTCTTGGATAATAATCTAACAACATAAATAAGCAAAGTAATAACTAGTGGCTCATTTATATTAGCTTTGTTGAATCTTGGCTCAGAAAATGTTAACACTCACTTTCATCAATAGAAGCTGACTTCATATATTTATGATTGTAACTAAGCTTTAACCATTTGTCATAATCTTAACAATTCTAATCCTCTCATCATGCACTAAGCAAAAGTAGGAATTAAGCTCTAGTTTCCTTGTACTTCTCAAATTTCTGTCCTTTTGACATTTAAAATAAAAATATTCTCTAACTTTTCAAGCATTATATCGCCATAGTTTTTAACTGCACACGTGTTGCTCAGAACCACAGACTGATATTTCCCACACTCAGAAACATTTTTTAGAAACTGTGTAACATACATTTAAATGCAAACAATTCAAATTCTTCCATTAAACATACATACACAACTTCCACTGAAGTTGGTGGGAGAGGCCTAATGCAGAATTTGGTCCAGAATTTTCAGTTCTTCTTCGAGTGATTGCTCACGTGTATTCCACAATATGTGTGCATGCTCGCCACGTGCACTGGTGCTGGAAGTTTTTCCCCTAGCAGTACCCATGGGGGGAGCGCCCCAGCGACCCCTGGAATGGTGCCTCCATGGCACGGTATAAGGGGAGCTGCACACTCCCCCCAACCTCAGTTCCTTCTTGCTGCCAGAGAAGGTGCGTTGGAACTACTCTCCTCCAGCTTTGCTGTAGCTCATCCCCAGAACTGCTTGTTGGTTCAGTGTTAGTACCTGTAGTTAGTTAGCTGTTTAGTTAGAGTGCCCAGGCTGGGGCATGCCCTGCGCCCTGGGTTTTAAGTCGTGTGACACTCATAGGCAATCTGTGCCAAGGAGTGACCCGCATGTGGACAGTCTCTGCTGTTTGGGAGAAGCCAATATCAGCAATCGTTGCAAAATTTGCAAGTCTTTTAAGCCTCGGACCAAGAAAGAAAGGGACATTAGGTTCCGGGCTATTCTGATGGAGTCGGTGCTGACTCCAGCACCCCGCTCCGAGTCAACACCAGTTACCGCAGTGTCGGTGTGTGGCGACCCTCCAGCACCATCGAACAGTCAGCACTGCTCCCCATCCACAGGGCATGTCAAGAAGGCTAAAAAGACACCTTCTTTGCAGCAGCACCAAAGTAAACCCAGGACAGAGGCTAGAACCATGTCGGGCAGTCCTCAATCCCCACCAGCCTCTAGGCCTCCGTCTCAAGTCAAGCGGAGTAGCCCGGCGTGTTCAGAGCAGGCCTCCCAGGATGTCCGGATGCTCTCCACGCTGGAGGCCCTGCGGGTGGCCCAGGACGTTATGTCCATGGCGGTACCAGGAGCACCGCCGATGTTGGCTCCACGCTCCAGAGGCAAGCCACCGCTGGGATCTCCGCAGTCGCCCCCGGCTCGGTACCGGTCTCAGTCGAGGAAATGTTCCCGACACTGTTCACCACCCAGCGACCGTTCAGGGCAAAGTCCACGTGGATTGCCCTCGACTCACACTAGGCTGTCTGGTTGGGTTCTGTCCGACCGAGACTCTCGGCACTGCTCCACCTCAAGGAGCGAATACTGACGGGACTGAGGCAGATGTCGCCATAGGCCCTCGTCTCGGAGGGGTTATCACAGCCGGTCACGGCATGGTCATCGACACTGTTCCTGCTTGGAATCCCGCTCCAAGACCCTGCCAAGGCATCACCTCCACAGCCGGGCGTCGATTGCCGTCGTCCCGCAGTCGCGGATCCACCTGTCTGAGTTGATAGCAGAGCAGGCATTACTGACGGTACCAGTCCTCCACATTGGGATCGCAGTCCCGTGGTCGGTGTCACTTCTGGCACTGCTGCTCTTCCAGGTCCGAGGACAGCGGCTGGTCGTACGTCAGCCCAGCCTCCATTCGTAGTCGTCCATCAATGGGTGGGCCAGGCCAGCCAGGCTGAACAACCGGCTCCGCTGGTGCCGCAGCAGGTGCAGTGGCACTGGGACCCGTGGCCAGCCCAATGGTATCAGTGGGCACTGTGGCCTCAGATGCAGCCCCCACTGGGCTTGCTCAGTGGCCGGAGCCTCAGAAGCACCACTGGTCTCCCTCTCCAGACTTCCGAGGAAGGAGTCAATCCTCTGCACCGTACCTGGAGGCCGACCAGGTGGTGGCGCTTCCGGTGCCGGCGGACACCCAGAGTACTGCACCAGCCTCCTTGCCCTTCCTGGATAAGGCAATTACGGCCCCGCCCCCTTCCGTCCCACAGGAGGACTTTAGGGCTAGATTGTCGGGCTCAGCGGGTAGCGATCAATGGCTCCATGTCTAATTGGCAGCCGGTATCAAGTGGAGTGCCCCAAGGGTCAGTCCTGGGGCGGTTTTGTTCAATATCTTCATAAATGATCTAGAGGATAGTGTGGATTGCACCCTCAGCAAGTTTGCAGATAACACTAAACTGGGAGGAGAGGTAGATATGCTGGAGGGTAGGGATAGGATACAGAGGGACCTAGACAAATTGGAGGATTGGGCCAAAAGAAATCTGATGAGGTTCAACAAGGACAAGTGCAGAGGCCTGCATTTAGGGTGGAAGAATCCCATGCACCGCTACAGACTAGGGACCGAATGGCTCGGCAGCAGTTCTGCGGAAAAGGACTAGGGGTTACAGTGGACGAGAAGCTGGATATGAGTCAACAGCGTGCCCTTGTTGCCAAGAAGGCCAGTGGCATTTTGGGATGTATAAGTAGGGACATTGCCAGCAGATCGAAGGACGTGATCGTTCCCCTCTATTCGACATTGGTGAGGCCTCATCTGGAGTACTGTGTCCAGTTTTGGGCCCCACACTACAAGAAGGATGTGGAAAAATTGGAAAGAGTCCAGCGCAGGGCAACCAAAATGATTAGGGGACTGGAACACATGACTTATGAGGAGAGGCTGAAGGAACTGGGATTGTTTAGTCTGCGGAAGAGAAGAATGAGGGGGGATTTGATAGCTGCTTTCAACTACCTGAAAGGGGATTCCAAAGAGGATGGT